CCATCCGGGTAGCTCGAAGATGTATCAGGATCTGCGGAAGACTTTCTGGTGGCGAGGTATGAAGCGCCAAGTAGCGAGGTTCGTGAACGGTTGCCTGGTGTGTCAGGAAGTGAAGGCTGATCACCAGAACCCAACGGGGCTTTTGCAGCCACTTGATATTCCCGTGTGGAAGTGGGAGTGTATCACTATGGACTTCGTAGTTGGTTTGCCGAGATCGAGGAAGGGGCACGACTCCATCTGGGTGATCGTGGATCGACTCACGAAGTCTGCCCACTTCTTGCCTGTCAGGACGACGATGAAGGCCAGTGACTACGCCGAGTTGTTCGCGGATGAGATCGTCAAACTGTATGGAGTGCCCGTTGAGATTGTGTCCGATCGAGACTCGAGGTTTACGAGCCAGTTCTGGAAGACTCTGCACCGAGCCATGGGAACGAGGTTGGCTTTTAGCACCGCCTTTCACCCCCAGACAGATGGTCAGTCGGAGCGGGCGATCCAGTACTTGGAGGATATTTTGAGGGTTGTGGTCTTGAACCGTAGCCTAACCTGGGAGAGTGCGCTACCTTTGGTCTAGCTAGCCTATAACAACAGTTATCACTCTTCGATTAAGATGACACCGTACGAGGCCTTGTACGGGCGCAAGGTTCGCACCCCTATCTATTGGGGATGAAGTTGGAGAGAGGAAGATTATGGGTCCGGAATTCATTCACCAGACTTCGGAGCAAGTGGATGAGATCCGGAAGCATATATGGGCTGCCCAAGAGAGGCAGAAGGTTTACGCCGATCGAGATAGGCGTGAGCATGTGTATGCCGTGGGTGATCACGTCTTTCTGAAGGTCTCGCCCATGAAGGGTGTTATTCGCTTCGGAAAGAAGGGGAAGCTTCAGCCTCGCTATATCGGGCCTTTTGAGATCCTTGCTCGATTTGGAGACTTAGCGTATCGGCTAGCTTTACCACCGAGCCTGGCGGGAGTACATGATGTGTTTCATGTCTCGGTGCTGCGTAGATATGTACACAATCCCGACCACGTGGTGGACTTCGGCGAGCTGCAGGTCGAGCGAATCCTTACCTATGAGGAGGTGTCGGTTGCCGTACTGGACCAGAAGGTCCATCAGCTGAGGAACCGGGCAGTGAGTCTTGTGAAGGTGCTGTGGAGCCGGCACGACGAGTCTGAGGCGACTTGGGAGATCGAGGCCAATATCAGGAGGAGATATCCGAACTTCGCTTTTTGATCCCTTTTTGGTATTTCGTTGTATTTCTAGTGGTTTGGATTTGTTTTATTTTCGAATTCCGAGGTCGGAATTCCTTTTAAGGTGGGTAGATTGTAGCGCCCCATTTGTTCCGGAATAATTGAATATTATTTGGCATTTATTTTATTTTTCAAATTAATTATTCGGGCTCGATAATTTTATTTTTATTGTATGCTCGTAATTGCTAAATTGTATTAATTTTAATGTCGAGCCGAATAGTATTATTTATTTTATTTTCGGTCGAACCGAAAATTTAAATAAATGAGGCATTGAACCGAGCGATTATGCGTGTAATTTATCGAACCGGGCCGGTTCGAACCCGCCACCCGAAACCCCCAAAACCGGCTCCAACCCCTCACCCATCCATCCTCATGCATGCATGGATATTAATTGAATTTTTTTTTTAAATTCAAAAGTTGATCCTATCCCATATTTTGTGCCAACAAACTCCCCCCTTCATGCCCTTTCCATATTTTTTTTATGGGAGTTACAATCCATGAAGTTGTGATTTATGAAGGTTGACCACTTCATTTCTCCTCATTTCCAATTCACGACATCACTCCCTCATCTCCATCTCTCTCTCAATCGGATTCCCTCTCTCTCTCAATCGGATTCCCTCTCTCTCTCATTTTCTTTTTCATTGTTCCTGGACGCCGGAGAACCCCCAGCCGCCGCCATCTTCGGCCTCCTCCACCCGTCATTCCCGCCCTTCTTCTCCACAGCACTCGCGAGTTCGGAAAAAGAAGACGGCCGCCATCGCTCCTCCGTGCAGCAGCCCCGCCGCCGTGAGCCTCGCCGTCGACCTCCTCACACGGCATCGACTTTCGGCCACCAACAGCAACCCCGACCACCGTTGCGTCCCCGTCCCACGAGCTCGAGCCTTTTTCCGTCATCACCTCCGTCGAGCCGATTGCCGCTCGTCTTTTCGTTCCTTTCCGAACGCTTTCCCGAGATCGGTAACGAGTCTTGACCTCTCGTTATTTTATTTACGTATTATTTCGTGATATAGAGATGTTTGGTGATTTTTATGTGCGGTGACTTCACGTACTATATCTCGAGTGCCATTATATGTCGATTCGAATATTCAAATAAATTTGATATCATTTTATGTGAAATCATGTTGTTTTCACTGTTCTGTTGTGCTACGGTTTAAGCCATCTTAGACTGAGTATTTGAATTCGTGACCCTCATGAGAATTGTAGTGTTTTCGGTTTACTAAGTCTGGGCTTTGGAATTTCTCAATTCCGGTCTATATCGAAAAAGTTATGATTTTTTTAATATTTGTTGTACTTCCAGTTTTTTCGTACCCAGCAGCAAAATTGGATTTAATGTTTGGTCTGTTTTACATGTAAAAATGTGCTCGTATGAACTTACACTCTTCATGAAAGTTAAATATATGTCTTTTACCTTTCAAATGAGATATATTTTATGTTGATATGTGCTCTGTGGCTCGAGTTATGATTTTATGAAGTTAGATATGCATGAGTTAGGAATTATCATGTTGGCAGAAATATGGAATCGAATGTTAACCGATATTTGACCATTCAAATGATCTTATATGTTTCTGTGCTCTAAATACAAGTTGTAGATGCATACCTAAGGTTTAATTTGAGACTTGAACCATATCATTTAGAGGTCTGTAGCTCAAGATAAAGGTCAAAAACTGAGATACTGTCCATGTTCATTATACTAGTTTTGACAGATTTACTGAATCATATGTTTTGCATTTTAACTCATTGAATATGTGATTATGTTCCAATGTGATCTTTATCAAAGTTGTAGATATTTCAGTTGCCTATCATGTGGGTTTTGAATTTCATTAATATAATTCCTGTAGCTCAAGTTAGATGGCAAATACTGAAATCGGGTCAAGTATATTTTTCCCAGTTTTGGACTGTGACTCAAATTTTAATGTTTGTTGATTTATCACCTGATAAATGACCTTATTTGCTTTCAGTGTCTTCATAAGAGTTGTAGTTTCATGTCTTAGGATACCAATGCAACTTGATTCATGTTCATATGAGTTATATGCTGTGACTTACGTCGATTTTAAAAACGCTGCCCGGGTCAAGTTTTCTAAACTTATGTGATATTTTCAAAAATGTGTTTTCTTTTGCTTTGATGCGTGCTAAATGATTATATGAACTTTGTTGGGCTTAGCAATTATATAATAGTCATTGATAAGGCTATTTTAATAAATGTAGGTGTTTGACGAGTCGACCTCGCCGCCTACCCTTATTTGTGTTAATTTTCGAATGCTACCAGGTGGGTTCATTTATGTTGAATCTACATTTACCGCACTTGTTATTTCGTATAAATGTTTGTCACGATAGTTTTTGTATGTGTGAGAACCCTAGTCTAAGCGTCCTGACGGTAGTGCCTTTGACGAATGCATAATCAGTGGAAGTCACCTGCCCGTTGCATCTGGGGGGTGGGCGCCCGAATCCGTGTAGAGCGGAGGGGTAATTCAACTTCACTGTCTCCTGGTAAGATCCTACGCCCGTTGCATCCGGGGTGGGAGTGCTTCCAGTTACATCCTCGCCGATGTCTGGTCGGGAGGTTTGTTGTATGTACATAGGAGGTTTGCGATGGGGCCTAATAGGGAGTTAGATCTGGATTCTATGCATATATTATTTATGGTTATGGATCTTTATGCGAAATATACTGTACAGTAATGTTGAGTATGATGGTTGTACTCACCCCCATTTACTTTTCTGTCCTCTTGTTTCTCTTCCTATCTTTTAGGTTGAGCATGGTTGGCGGCGGCAGCGAGAGACGATCGAGTGGTGGTCGTTGGATTATGTGTTGCTTGCTTCCGTTTTCTATTATTTTGATAAACCATTTGTCCAACTTTGAATAACTATGTTTTCGTTTTATTTATTTCGAACATATTGGTTAGACTATTGAATTCTGTTGAAGTATTTGTTTATGCATGACTGATTTTGAGGCTTATGGATAATTGGGGTTTAATTTTGAACTGTTAGATTTTATCCGTGTAAGATGTTTATTTGGTTTAAATAGTTTAAGTAGCGCCCGTTTGATAATAAATTTTTAATTTGGGATTTTGCGAAAAATTAACTCTGAATTTGTATAAATAAATTCGGTAAATTCCTTAAAATAAAACGGGGCGTTACAAAAAACTAGAATCACTTTAGGTTCCGTTTGGATCGAGTCATTTTAAATCCCAAAGGATTTCAAATTTATTGGATTTCAAATCCATTACCTTGAATTCCCTTGTTTGGATTAAGGTGAATTTGTGGAAAGAATTTCAAATCCATGAATTTCAAATTCATTGTTTGGCAAACCATAAGAACAATTTTTTTTTTTTTTACAAAATAACATAAAAAAATAAATCATTTTCTAAAACTTCATTATTAGTACCAATTTTCAGGATATTTTATCTCAAATCATGTAAAATAAAATCTCACAAATGCCATCCCCAAATAATGAAAAGGAAGGATAAGATCACTTATCAAGACATGTTGAATTTACAACATCTTGCCAATAAGAATTTCTCCATAGATATAAGTTGCATCATGAAGACATATCCAGGACAATATTCACATAAAACATTCCAAAAGCAAATCACAGAATATTCACATAAAGCATTCGAATGCAAATCACAGAAGTTGAACACAATACATCATTGTTTCCAACAAATAGCAAGGCAATCTTTTTGCACTATTTAGCAAATGAACATCTCCAAAGACAACTAAGAATTAATGAGATAATAAATCCACTCTGAGACAACTAAGAATTGATGAGATAATAAATCCACTCTTGTTTTTTTTCTTCTGGAAGGGCTTTCAACAATTTGAACTCCTCTAGATCGCTATTCATTAGCTTGCGGACAGCTTTGAACACTTCTTCACAAGTAAGGCCCGGTATAACCGATACAACTTCATGTATCTCAATGCCATTTGGTTTCTCTTCTTGTTTTTTCCTTGCCAGATACTCTTGAAATGAAGTAGCAATAACACCTACCACTTCAGCCAGTGAATCTTTCTTAAACTTTGTTTTTTTCTCTAAGTTCGAATCTGTTGAACTTGATGTCCTTGCTCGTGCTCTTCCACATAAGAGAACAATGTCATCCCAATTTCCTATCATTTTATTTTGCATCCCTTTTGCATCAGGATGTGACTGCATACAGAAAATCAACATATATAACAGTTACTATCATACATATAATCTTACATATAATCTGGCTGATGTGCACTTTAATATAATATGTAGATTGAAACAGCACATACTCAAAAAATTGTAGGATAACCCATATTGAGCTTGTCGGACGGCATACAATCAAAGAACATAGCCTCAGAAAGGATGAAGAGAAAAAAGCTGAATGATAAGCTCTATGCACTAAAATCTGTGGTCCCAAACATTACTAAGGTACTCTTCCACTCATCAACAAATAATCTGCTCAATTATTGTCCTTAACTTTTTTAATGACTTAAATTGGACGTATATGTATAATAAAAAAAAGGGCCCCATTTGAATTAATTATATATACTTAATTAATTAGTCGTGACATATGATGCAAATGGACAAGGCATCAATCATTAGAGATGCAATTAGCTACATCCAATCACTACAATGTGTAGAAAAAGATCCAGGATGAGATATCTGAGTTGGAATCTTCCTCAGATGGTGCCACTTATTTTTACAACACTGATTTTGATCATCAAGTCACCAATTATGAACTCAAAATCATTACTGCCAATATCAACACTTTCTCTGAAAAGTTTTCAAAGACTGTTTTCATCAATGTACCTCTCTATCTCTGAGTCATGCTTGAGTTGACTGTCAGAATTAATTATATAATGGTAAGTACAAATACACTTGACAAACTTATACATACTCTTCTCGTTATAATATTACCAAAATCAGCACTCTAAATTTTGTCGATACCTCATTTGGTAAATTAGTCTGGCAAAGTAGATTAACTCATCTATCTCCATCTCTCACACACACATAAGCTTGAAAATATATATTAATTATAAGTTAATGATTTCTCTACAATTGTTCATATTAATAAGACCTATTTGGTTTAGTAGTACTCTTAACTCCTGGTTTAGTATGTTGAATAAATTAACATTCAAGGAGACATTTTTAAAATATATTTGGAAAAGCTAATAGCATTATTGATTATATATGATTGAAAATCTACAACCAGTATCATTAACAAAAAAAAAAAATAATAACAGAATATAAATGGCTATATATTTGTAACAAAATATAAAAAATAACAGAATGTAAATTTAACATTCAAGAAATCAACTCTTCCTGGAGAGAGTAGCTTCAATCAAGCTCAATTTTTTTCTCATCAATTTTCCCAACCTCTTATTTAAGTGCATCTTTTTTCCTTGCACATATATTTTCACAAAGGAGACAATATAAGGTCTAAGGCTTGAGAAACAAGTGACTTTTGTGGTGCACCAAGGTAAGTGTACAAGAAATAAGCCTCTAGTTTATATCTATACAGAACAATCAATGAGATAACAATCAAGGAGAGCTCACAGAGACATGAAAAGATAACAATCATCCAATTGAATTGTTTGCTCCATATGCTATATATTTGTAACAAAATATAAAAATAAAAAAAAATAACAGAATATAAATGGCTAACCTCCACATATGCAGCCCAGGAACTCGATTCATCGGAAGTAACAACAATCATTTTCCTATCCTCGTCCCAAGCAAAACCACTTTGATTAGTTTGGATGTCAGAAACTACATTGAAGTGCTTCTTCCAGCTTTTCAGTCTATGTTTTTATGTTATCTTTCGTCAAATTCAGATGCAACTTTGCATTTAAGTACGTTACAACAGCATGTAGAGCTTGGGGTTTCCAAGTATCACCATCACACTTGTGTCCAAGAGCCATTTGTTCAGTTAATATGAAAGCCAAATTACTGTCCATCTCCTTATTCCAAGATACATATGATTGTTTGTGCTTAACTGAAAAATACATGTAAAAAATAAAAATACGCCAATTGAATCAATATAAACCATCATACAGTATGAAAGGTTACCTTCAACAGCAGCATGATCAGTAGAAGCATCATAGGCGGAAAAGCTCCTCTTGGATGTTTTTGTGTTAATTGACATTGAAGCTTTTGTTCCTTTGTTCATCTTGTTATTCATACTTTCTTTATCATCCATAGCCAAAATTATGAAAATAATAAGTTGACAGCATATAGTAAGAATTTTACTCAAATAGCTAAACATTATATCACATAAAAAGAGCCAAAAGAGCCAAAGACAAACCAAGTATCACATAAAAATGTTGGAAATATACTATTCTCGTCGAGCTTGATACTCATCAAACATTTGTAGGGCAAGATTATCCCGAAAAGCAGTCCACTCGGGTGTAGTTCTGACAACTCTTATATTCTCTTCATCATTAAATCCATCTTCCACTCTAGAACGATTTGTTAATTCTCTGTCCACTTCAATCAACAAAGGATCAATTAACATCTCACAAAATTATGCAAAAAACAACACGCATTGATGATTCTAATTTGAGTCTTCACACTATAAAAACTAGCAGCCCGCAGAATAGCCCATCTTTTCTTCAGCAAACCGAAACTCCGCTCAATTGTATTTCTTGCTGAAGAGTGTCGAAGATTATACAGCTCTTTGTAAGTCTGGGGAATATTTCCTTTCCACTCATTCAAATGATAACGAGTCCCTCTATATGGAGCAAGAAAACTAGGACCATTTGTATAACCAGCGTCCACGAGATAATATTGGTCTACCAAAAGTATACAGGAAAATAACATCAATTATCTTTAAATATTTTAAACTATGCATTAGCTAATAAATTTTCAACCTACCATGGAACAGTCAGGTTAACAAAAGTTCCATCTAATGCCCCTAGTGCATTCTACACAGTTTAATGAATAAGTTTTAAACCGTAGTTTTTATAATGCATGTATTTGATAAGAATAAAAGTTGAATAATTACCAGAAACCATCTCCATCTCCTTGCATCCCTCTCATTATATAATCCATCACTTTGTTGCTTGAGATAGATTTTTCCAATTTTTAGTACCGCACGTAGTACGGTATGAAACTGCCTACTTATAGTTTCCCCTGACCGCAAAAATATAGATGATGTTGTACTATTCTTTTGATCATGAGCGAGAATATGTAGAAATACTGCCACAATTTCTTTTATTGTGACATTTCTTGAAGCAACTAGTCCACCCTCATTATGTAATACTTCACATAATTTGTTAAATGTGTGCACATTTACTCGTAGTTGCCTAAAACATGTAGGATCACGACATAAGGATCTCATCCAAAGTTCCCTCCATTCAGCTCTTACATCATTTTTCACGGGAACCTCTTTGATAAAATATTTATTATGGTACCAAGCTCCCAAAACAGCTACGAGAGAAATCAACAAAACAATAATAATGTCCGACTCTTCTTCATCATTTTCCACATCCTCTCTTCTACGTTTTCTACTACCATTATCCATCAGACCTACATCAATGCCACCTTTAGAGGTCATTTCTAAAAAAAATAACACGCGGAATATAGATTGGATACATGCTAATTGATTAATATAGACTATAGAGTGTGTACTCTTTTTCTTAAAAAAGGAAAAAGAGAGAAAAAGATTAATCTCACCAATATAATAAAATATGATAAAATATTTTTAAGCTTCACAATTTGTTAAGCTAATTCCAGATCAATAATATAAGCTCAAGATATTCAAGAATTCAGCAGGGTATGTTATTGACTCCAAAAGTCCATCAGCAATTGACCAGTTTTATAACTGAAGTGACATGTACAGGAGAATAAACTAATTTTGCAATGACAATATCTCACACTAGCTATCCCCTAACAGTTCCATTATCTTCTTAAATATTGGATGCATCAAGAAAACTTAGAGAAGGATAGACAGTTAAGTTATCGAGATAACCATCATTTTCAGGAATTCATTCACTATAATATTTATCACCAAAAGGAAATACTAAACGGAAAAACTTACCTCAAAGGATAATAACAAAAATATACAATGGCGAACTTATGAACTTCAACCTACTGAAACACGTGATTAGCACTTTAGCAGGTTTTATTCTTGACACATAAATATATGCTTAAAACAGGAAGGATACAAAAATATTATATCATTGAATGATTTATGCTTTTATTTGAATTGTTATGTAGCATTATATTACTATTAAGTCCTCTGTTTTATGACAGAGCTCCAATTAATCAAATGCTACACTACAATTGAGTCTATTATGGATGAAAAAAGCAAAGTTATTCGGCATGGCCTACATTTGCCTATGGGAAAGCATACATAACCTTATAACTATTCTATCTACTATACACATAGCCTGCCGTTCTCTTAGTCTTAGCCACACAAACAAAATCAAGCATCCTTTTATTCTTGAAGCCACAACAGTAAAAAGGAAATAAATCAGGTCCAAAGTTCTGCTCCTATGCACAAAAAACTATAGAGCACATAAATACACACAACAAGCAAACAAAATTATAAAACAAAGGCAATCTATCATCCATATCAAGATCTATACACATACTTTGTGTTTATGGAGAGAAGAGCGCTTTTACCGGATCGACAGAGAGGAGGGCTTGTGATCGAGATTGAGAGAAGAGCGTTTTCACCGGATCGACATAGACGAGTGCTTGTGATCGAGATTGAGAGAAGAGCTCTTTCACCGGATCGACGGAGAAGAGGGCATGTGATCGAGATCGAGAGAAGAGTGCTTTCACCGGATTGGATTGAGAGAGAGAGAGAGAGAGAGAGAGAGAGAGAAGATGTGGATCGATTTTGGGGCTTGTGAATTGTGATACGTGATATTGACTTTGCCGAGAATTGAAATGACCAGCTTTTTTTGGGTCATTTGAAATCCTTGAAATAACGAGTAAAATTCATTGGGCCTTTTTCATGAATTTAAAATCCTTCATTTTTTATTGTTATCCAAACAAGCCCAAGAATTTGGGCCTAAGAATTTGAAATCCACCTGTCCAAATCACTCCATCCAAACGGAGCCTTAGATACTTGTAGACGGCTTCTTCATGATATGATAGATACTTCTTCATGATATGATAGAGAATACAACTTTTTAACAATGTTCTTATCGTGAAATTATTATCATTATTTTTTATATTAAACAAACATTGGAATATGAATTTCAGTATGCAGGAGCTATGAATTATAATTTATATATATATATATATATATATATATATATATATATATAAAGAGGGAGTTGATGGAATTTATTGCTAAATAAAGATGATATGCAATGACTATAATTGACAACATTTCTACATTTGGTTGTATAATTGTAAATTTAATTATTTTTGCATTTGTCAATAATATTTTAGATCCGTGTTTCCATTTGCACTTTCTATTAACTCAACTAAATTAGTATCCAATTAATAATTCAAATTAATATGGAATCTACATTAATATTTATGCGACTTACTATTCAGCGACCTTTGAAGTTCCTAAAAGTTATTGATTGAGAATTTTAAGTAAAAAAATCTATATAAAAATAATAATAAATTTCCGTTTCAAATATTCTAAAAATAAAAAATCAATTTGAAGTATGAGAATCATTCAGATATTTAATAATGCATAAAATTATATATTTAATAATACATATAAATATATATACCACCAATTAAGATAATGACACCCAATGATTCCATAAATATACGAACCTATAATTATACCATAAATCTATATCTATATCTATTTCTATATCTATATCTGTATAATAGACCAATCTTTATTGCCATAATTGACATGATTTTGGGCGAGAAATTTTTTCGTCTATATTTGACATTCAATTAATATTTATTTATTAGCAAATCATATGCATAAAAAATATAATTAATTTTTATACACTCAATGACTATTACTCATTAACTACAAATTGGCTTAGATTGAAATTTTAACTGTAAATTTATTAGATATATTTTAAGTAAGATCTTCTATTAATTTAATAGTAATTTATTGGCATAATTCAAAAAATTATTATGGAAATTGATTTGATTAAATATATTATCATCTATGGCTGTAAGTATTAATTTAATGAACTATATTCACTATTCAAAAGTACTTAAATATTTAATAGAATAAGTAGAATAACTATGTTTAAATCATAATAACTTAATAAATAATCTAAAATATTAATAAAAGTTTCAAATATGTAGTCAATTTAAGTATAAAAATGTACATCCCTATTGAATATATCACATGCAGTAATAATAGTATTGAAAATTTAAATAATACTAATAAAAATAAAAATTTGATGGTCGGGTGCAAGTCAAAATTATAAATTCCACCTTAGAAGTACCTATGTACATTAAAAACTATCCAATTTTTAAAAATATTTATTTTTTTCTTATATACTATTTTATATATGAAAAATAAATTAATAAATAAGGAATGTATAATAATTTATATTATAGCACTTGGTAATTATGAAAATATATAATATATCAAAATATTTGAATAGATACTATGTAACTCATTATATAGGTTGAAAAAATGAATTAAAAAAATAAATATAAATAAAAATGGAAACATAAAAGTAAAATATTTAACTATAAAAAATTTATGTGTTGTATAAGGATTAAAGTCACTAAAAATTAGAGTTTGTTTATCAAAGTTCTTAACATTTAATGCACTTAATAATTTTAGCGGAAGATAAATATTATGGGTTAAACGTTGGTCAATTATCAAGCAATGTGCAAATTATGAATTGTTAAAAAAATTATAAGACCATAATAAACGACAATTTTATAAGTACATACAAATAATTTGTGTGCAAATATCATATGATCTTATACATTTATAATATTTTATAAACTTATAAATAATAAAATTTACATATTAAATAGTGAAAAACTACAAAAAAAAATACAAAAATAGAAATTAACAATAATAATAAATAAATAAATGTCATATTATTACTGAATAGAATATTGTAGAGAATATAATTTCATATTATCTTAAATAATTTTATAATATTTCAATAATAAATATTTTTTTATTGCACCCCGTGTATCGCACGGGTATCAACACTAGTAATAATTATAATAATAATATTATAATAATAATTATTACTTTATTATTACTATTATTATTATTATTATTATTAATTTTTTGCAGGCTGAAATTAAAATTATTAGATTCTTCAAACCTTTATGATTAGTTCTTGCTTTTTTATTTCACCTTGCATTCTTTTGATTTTTTTTTTAATTCTTTTTCAAGTGTTTGTAAATTAAAGTATTGTGGCAATGATGAATCTTTATTTATTTATTTAAAAGGTATGTCTTCATATTCTACCCGATTGATCACATAAAAATAAGAAACCATCTCTGTTCGAAATTTTAAATACTGCCCTTGTCGACTACTTTATGGACGTAAATTAAAACAAAAAGGAAAAGGAAAAAAAAAAAACTTCGAACAATAGTGTTAATGAAATTTAAATCAAGCTTTTTTTAAAAAAAAATAAAAATAATAATAATAATAATAATAATAA